CTGTACTGGTTCACGCGACCCCAGCACCAGACATCTGATCCCTTTGTCAAACCACAAGTGTGGAAATTACCAGCTGAGATGTTGCTGAAAGTCTCCTGATACAAACAATACATTTGCAGAAAATACAGCAAAACGAGACCGCCCATGCATGATTCCAAATACACAGTGTAAGCTTGATCAGGTGTTATAGCATTGTACAACTTCAATTGTAATTGTGGAAGAACTACTGCCAGAAGCTACCATTCCCTTTTTGCTTAATTTCAAAACCGGGTCAGTGGCCCGGTGCAGTCCTGTGTGCCGGTGCGGCCTTTGTCCTCACGAAAACTTGAACCAATTGAAAAGGAAAAAACAAAAGTGGACCAGATGCCTTTCTTATTGAGATCTTGACCAAGAGAAAGTAGTTAAAAGAAAGTTGTGCCCTGCGGTCCTTTCCAGGCACTTGGAGCTGTAGGTTCGTGTCGTCACCCCAACAAATTACATTGTCCTTGCAATGGTGCGCGCTCTTCAGATCCTCTTTCGGTTGAGTGTTAAGTTTCCATAAAAATCTAGGAACCAAATCATCGGTGCGCTTCTTTAAGGAAGCTCCCTCCGCCCTCGGAAGCTCCCCCCGCCCTCAGGCGGGGGGAGCTGCCTTGAAGAAGAGTGAGCAATCCTGCGTCGATATGTAGGAGCGAACTTCTCCTGGTGCTAACTAGTCTCCCTTGCTTAATTAAGTAGGCACCTACTTAACTAAGTAGGAGCGGGGTTTTTCAAAAAAAAGTGCACATTGCTTTTGATAGCAGGTCCTCTTGTCGTCTACTCAGGGCTTGGACAGCACTTTCTTGGAGTAGCGCACAGCAGTGACGGTCCCCACATGTCACCTCCTCGGGACAATGCCGCATGCTCAGGGGCTTTGACCAAATATATGTCTATAAAGTCCCTTAAAGGATGCGTTTCCAGATACAATTAAAGGACCGGATAACCCCACATATGAGTCTTTGCGAATCTTAAGGTTCTAAAGCACAAAGCAGTCAGAGTCTCAATAGCTTCTACAACACGGCCTTGTCAGGAAGTGATATCGGCTTCCGACAACAGAAGGGTGGGAGAGAAGGTGTAAGAGAGTGATGTGCACGACGGATGTACGAGGTATTGTGCACACAGGTGTGCGCAGCCACAACTAGCCAACAACCCCAGCGGTGGTCGCACGTCCGCAATATCGGCATAATGTACTAAAGTTGTACTACCAAGTCGCCAGTTCTCAGCTTCCAGCTCC